AGGGCTCAGCTCCAAATGCACCACGGGGCTCATTAGGATCAAGCCAGTCCTGACAAACCATGGCTCTGCCTTGATTTCTCTCTGCTCTAGTGTCATTCATTAAGAAGCTTTCCTGCAATATTTATGGAGTGATATTTAAAAGAGCTTCTAGGAAATATGTATTCCTGTTTTAAAGGGTGTCTTTTATTGCTGTTCTTATTACACAAGAGGAGATTACAGCATTTAGTGACTGATATTGATCCCGGGACTCTCCTGAGGAGATCTGGCCTGTTCAGAAGAGCTGTGCCTGGAGGTCTGACCCAGCATAGATGTGAAAAATGCATATTATATGGCTCTATGCAGATATTTACTATATGTGATATGTTATGTTATATTGATTAGTTGTGCCGTATTAACACTTTAGTAGTATTGTAAATGTAGTTTTACAGTTAAAATGAAGCTTTAGTAGTTAAAATAGAGACTATGTCAAAGGGTTTTTTTTTTAAGGAATGAGATACTTTGAGGTAACCGTCACCGAATACCTAAATCTTCCAGAGAAGAGGAATTTATGGTTTTCTTATCAGAAAAATCTAATTTCTTCAGGCCTTGCTCAGATTCGAAGACACCATGGGGATTAAAAAAAGCAGTTGACACATAACAGGCAGAGGTTCTTGTTTTAAATAGAATGTATGCATAACCATGAAGTATATATGAATATGCAACAGTGTATTGTTTGAAGGATGATTCCTTTGTTCACAATACATGCTTGTTGTGGTTTAAGTGCCTGAAAGCATCCAGAGTCCATAATTCTTTGGTTTTTATTGTCTTTCTATTGTCCTAATTTAAAATTTTATTACTCCAAATGTATTACAATTTTAATAATCATTTTATTATTATTAAACTTTTAAAAACTCTAAAAACAATCAACTGGCATTTTTTACAATGGACAACCTTGCTCCACATTCCCCATCCCAATGCTGTTTCTCTTCACTCACCTGGGACCTGCTTTGCTTGGACAACTGGTTGCACTCAGGCAAAGAGGGCTTTTCCTTCTTTACTTTTGGTAGCAAATGAAACTCCTTAATTTTCCCACTGAAAACAGACACCCTCCTCAAGTGTGTGCCAAGCCCAAGGTGCCTCCAAGAGCACTGCAGACCTGCCCTGGGCCAGCGCTGAGGGTGGATCATCAGCCCAACCTGCACTGGGCCATTGCAAGGGACTCTTGCCATGGTCACTGCACTGACCCCACTGCTGGGTTTGGGTGCCATGGCAAGCCTCATCAGTTCAAGTTTCCTTGGAAACCAGCCCAGGACCCCTTT